AGAATAACTTTTTGAAAAGCAAGGCTGTGTGAAATTCAAATGAAAAGTCAAGTATATTCATATCATTGTGAAAAAATTCTACTATCAATCCTTCATCACCTTAAACAAAATAGGGTGAATACATCTCTTATTACTGAAATAATAAGGAAGCGTAAGTTTTAGTCAACCCGACCAAATTATAATATTACTGTATCTCTTCAAACAACGATGAAAATAAGGTAATGACCTTATCCTAAGTTCCTCATGATTCATAAAACATTGCTTTTCTAAAAAAGGGGCTAAATTTTTTCCTAAGCTAATGAAGACATCTTAGAAGATATTTGGTGAAGATTGATAACATATCGGAAAAATAACCATAAGAGACCAAACGAAAATAATGAAATTATTCCTGACAGTCCTAAAACATCAAGAGCCAATAGAATGGAGCAGATTAAGGAAAAAACGCAGAAAATTGCAAAGGAATGACAAAATAGTTCTTCAGATTTATACGAAGAAGAAACGGGGGTAATGTGTAGGAGCAATACAAGGAGAAAATGGAGAGCATCCTAGACGACCAGAAGACTCATAAAATATAAAGGAAAGATCCAACCATAAAGATAAACGGGAAACTGAAGGATATGCTAAAGGAAAGACATAGCAATGGAAAAATCGATAGATGGATGATGAATTCTTTCACTAAAAATGTCGCAAGACCACCGACAACTTACCGACTACCGAAGATAAACAAGAAAAGCCACTAAGATTAATAGACAACAATAAGCATGGAGCTAAACACAAGCTAGTGAAATTCATTTTCTTGAAACTCAAGAAAGTAAGTAACAGACTCTCGAACGCCATAAAGAATTCATATGAATCTTCCCAAAGGTTTCAAAACATTGGGTTGGCGGGGACGGAACTGCTGGTAAGCTCTGACGTAGAATCCATTTACACAAAAGTCTCAGGCAAAAAAGCGGTCATCGCCCTGCTGAAGATCTTGGAATAAGAAGAGGACTTTCTGGAAAGAAAGCGGATACGGAAGGAGTTGTGAATACGACTGATCAACCTGGCAGCAAAGATCATACATTATATATTTAACGGCAATTTATATGAGCAAATATTTTTGACTATCGATGTAATCTCCACTCTCGTCTCTTTTGGCAAATGTACACATGGAGGAATTGGAAAAGGAATTCGAGTAGTCACTGCTGCAACCAAGAGTGCATATGCGATACCTGGATGAGTACTTTGCGCTTTAGCCACATGGTAAGCAAAATTTGATACATTCCCCAACTGTATAGACCAACTTGGTTAAAGAATACAATTCACAATGGAGGTGGAGGATGACCGACTGACTCTTCTGTATACTGAGGTTACTATTCGGAAAGAAATCAAATGCAGGAATAAGTCCCAATTACTAATATCATCATAACTACAGATTAAATATCGGAATGATGATGAGGTGGACCATCAGAATCTTGAGACTAATGGACATCGAGTTCTAGGACGAGCTCGGATTTGCTTCAGTAACGGGCACCCCAGGACATTTATAGAAGGAAATATAAGGGTCACAAAGGGCAGATTTTAACTTGGATTTTATGAATACAAAATCAGCCTGCCGACACAACTCGAGACGTTTGACAAAGTGGATTGCTCGGTAGTCTATCGCATCAAATGCAACAACTGTGAGCAGAAGTGTATTAGTGAGACAGGTACACGAAATCGACTGGAAACCGACAAACGCCTTGCCTCGTATGATGAAGATAAAAGAAAACGCAAGATCAAAGAGGCCATCGATATGCTGGCTACAACAATTCTGATGAACGAAGGACTTGAAGAAATCAGGATTAGTGAAAACTTTGCACATTGCTTTAGCAAACCTGGAGGAGATTAGGAAACAGGATTAGCAAAAACAAGGCAACTAAAGAAAGAAATATTTATGGAAAATTTTAAAAAGAATCGCACGTAGGTCAAAGAGTTGCCATCGTGAAGCAAAAGGAGATGACTTTAGTGAGCATAATTAAAGAAAGTAAACAACTACAGCATTTAGAGGTTGAC